CATGTATGTGTAGTGTGACCTAAGTGTAAGTAGAAGTAGCAAGACGTACCTGTAATCTTGCATGTTTATGAGACAGACAAAAGACACCAGCAATCCTACCATCATGTAAAACAATTACAGGCTTTCGTTTTACACTCACTTGGCAGGACGGTAGTACCTCCCTGGGTGGTTGGAAAAGGCGTATGACAGGGTGGATAGGGGGGCAATGTGGCAGATGTTGCAAGTGTATGGTGTAGGAGGTAGGTTACTGAAAGCAGTGAAGAGTTTTTACGAGGATAGTGAGGCTCAAGTTAGAGTATGTAGGAAAGAGGGAAATTTTTTCCCAGTAAAAGTAGGCCTTAGACAAGGATGTGTGATGTCACCGTGGTTGTTTAATATATTTATAGATGGGGTTGTAAGAGAAGTAAATGCAGGGTCTTGGCAAGAGGCGGGGAGTTAAAAGTAAAGAATCACACACAAAGTGGGAGTTGTCACAGCTGCTCTTTTGCTGATGACCCCTGTGCTTTTGGGGAGATTCCTGAAGAAAGTTGCAGAGATTGGTGGATGAATTTGGTAGGTGTGCAAAAGAAGAAAATAAAGGTGAATACGGGAAAGAGTAAAGGGTTTTGAGGATAACAAAAAAAATTAGGTGAGAAAGATTGAATAATCAGATTGGAGGGAGAGAGTATGGAGGAGGTGAACGTATTTAGATATTTGGGAGTGGACGTGTCAGGGATGGGTCTATGAAAGATGAGGTGAAACATAGAATTGATGAGGGAAAAAAAGTGAGTGGTGCACTTAGGAGTCTGTGGAGACAAAAAACTTTGTCCTTGGAGGCAAAGAGGGGAATGTAAAGAGAGTATAGTTTTAACCAACGCTCTTATATGGGTTTTGAAGCGTGGGTGATGAATGTTGCAGCGAGGAGAAGGCTGGGGGCAGTGGAGATTCATGTCGAGGGCAATGTGTGGTGTGAATATAATGCAGAGAATTCGTAGTTTGAAGTTAGGGGGAGGGGCGGGATTACAAAACTGTTGTCCAAGGGCTGAGGAAGGGTTGTGAGGTGGTTCGGACATGTAGAGAGAATGGAGCGAAACAGAATGACTTCAAAAGTGTATCATCTGTAGTTGGGAAAGGGAAGGCGGGGTAGGGGGTCGCCTAGGAAGGGTTGGAGGGAGGGGTAAAGGAGGTTTGTGTGCGAGGGGGTTGGACTTCCAGCAGGCAATGCGTGAGCGTGTTTGAAGGGGAATGGAGACAAATGGTTTTTAATACTTGCGTGCTGTTGGAGTGTGAGCAAAGTAACATTTATGAAGGGGTTCAGGGAAACCGGCAGGCCGGACTTGAGTCCTGGAGATGGAAGTACAGTGCCTGCACTCTGAAGGGGGGTGTTAATGTTGCAAATTTAAAAACTGTAGTGTAAAGGCCCCTTCTGGCAAGACAGTGATGGAGTGAATGATGGTGAAAGTTTTTCTTTTTCGGGCCACCCTGCCTTGGTGGGAATCGGCCGGTGTGATAATAAAAAAATAAATATATATATATAATATATATATATGTCGTGCCGAATATGTAAAACTGGTCAATTAGAAGAACTCATTTAAAATTAAGTCCTTTTTAAAATTTTCTCTTATACGTTTAAAGATATATTTTTTTCATTAATGTTGAGGTAAAAATTTATAATTTTGCACCAAAAGGAACTTAGAAAACTTACCTAACCTTATTATAACAAGCGCAATTTATTTTAGCCTAACCCAACTAAATATATTTTAGATTTGTTTACAATAATTTAATACTAAACAAACACAGTGAAATATATTTTTTTCGTTAGGTTCAGAATTATTTTGGCGAAATTATAGCATACACAAATTTTCACTTGTCCTATATGGCAAGATGAGCGTTGCTATTTAAGCCAAGATCGCAAGTTCTGCCTATTCGGCACGACATATATATATATATATATATATATATATAAAATTTTATCTCTTAGTAATTTCAGTGAGCGTTTTGTAAGATGTCTTTTGTCATTTAAATTCTCTTTCTTTTCCAATAAACTTCTTAATATCACTGTTATAAACGTCACAATTTTTTTTATAAATTTAACAGAAATTCCTTGAAGGATATAATTTCATTTAGTACCTAAATAATAAATTTATATCCACGATTATTTTAAAATCAAACTCTGAGTATATTACAAAAAATAATGTAAACAAAATGGAATATTTTTTAAAAATCATTACTGCTGTAACTAATTCACACCAACTCAACATTATACTCTCCGAAATATTCCTCGCATCTGGACACGTACTGAAATAATTGAACCACTTATGTACAGTTCCTCACTGATGATAAACATGAAGCTGTCGACTAGTCTGACTGTCTTCAACAAAGGTAAAAATAAAGTTTTTAATAAGAGTATTGACTACCTTGCGCCCATGGCGGCTGGTTGCCATTATATAGGCTTTATTAAGCACTAAACTACACAAGTGTGTACTAGCCGCCATACTTCTGCAGTACTACACACTAATACATACAAATCTGAAATACATGTATTGTACGAGTAACAGATGAAACACATGTCAAGCTTTAGTGTAAATCACAGAGTTATGTTATTGCCATTTTAGGGTAAGTTTTACGGATATGAAATACAGGAATTTAGAGTGAGAGCAGCTCCCACCTTGTGATGAGGATGTTAATTCATACTTACCCGCACCGCCTCCTGCCTCCCTTCAACACCCTTAACATTATACATTTAACTACCTTCCTTTCCCGCAAGTTACACAAACGCGTAAGTACAATGAATTATTCATTAAAACATCTATATAGTGATAAAATCATCAGCTATAGACTTTCCGTGAAAACCAGTCTCGGTAAGAGAGGAGCGGGTAGGTGTAGGGCGGCAGGATGTGGCTACCACAACACAAATCTACAGGAAGAGGAATATCTTGCGACAGGAGAGATCCAACACAATTATCGCCACAGTTTTCTCCTTAAAGTCTGAATATGTACAGAGACTTTATTTTAAGCTTAAAAGCAAAATGTGCTTAATCTTTGTTTAAGTCAGAACAACCTTGAAATTAGCGACTGTAAGGAGCCTACATGTTAATATTATAACACAAGACCGAGGACCACTTTTGTCTACATGTATATGTGCTCGTGTGGAAGAATATTAATATTAGTATCAAACAGGAAAACATTTCTTTTGACACGTCGGTATGTTACAGATATCTTTTAGTATAATACTACCTTTATTATGCATCCTATACCTATCTTTACACACGGCGAAGGCTTTTTTTTCTTTTGGCTTCGTTCTAGTGACGTCGGGAGAACGGAATATCGAACATAAAATAACAAATCACTTCACTTTCCCAATATACCCTAATGAACTTGCGAATCATATGGTTATAATTAACGATGCAAATAACATGTGGTATATAATCTACAATGTAAGCAAAAAATTACATTTGCGCCTCAAACTGTACATTTACAACAAATGTTATGTTGCATTATGTGACCCTGTACTCTGGCATTGTTGAAGGTATTTCAGAGTCCTCATGAAGCTGGTCAGTTAGTAAGGAGTGAATCCAATATTTAACGGAGTTCCAACTGCATGGCCAAATTTACATATTCAAATAGTGAAAATACAAAAGAGAGAATAATAATAGGAAAACAGAGATATACATTTTTTTTAACCGAGTGCTGAGAAGCACATAACAAACACAGGCGTGACACAACACAAGAAGCAGGACCAATAACATGATATATAAAACAGTAAACACAGGCGTACCAGCTCTCATGGAGGTACCTTGCTGCATGATATACACCGTCCCAGCTGTGTTTAACGTACTTGTAATGTATTAATTAGGCAGTCAAAAATATTTAACAGTATTAAATACAAAAGCGAAACAGAAGAACTCTTAAGAGAGTTTAAAATGAATGGATGGAAGCGTACAAGAGCGATCCCCAGGGTGTTGTGGTGCTAAGCTTATACCAGATCTCTCCTCACATACAAACACCAATATTTCTATAAGCACCATTATAAACAGTTCAACTCACCTGGTCCATATCCCACACATTAATATGTCCCTTGAAAGATCGAAGCCATATTAGGATCATAAGAACCAATTACCAAAATACTCATAAAAACGTATTATTTTATAAATCCGATCCAAATAATTGACAAATAATGACACTATGTCCGAATGGCAGGAATTGTGTTTCCCAACCTAGACGGTATCTCCCTCTAGTGGGAATTTATAAATTTTAATTTTTTTTCAATTGTTTTACTGAGTCAGTACTTAAATTTAAATAAACTTGTAAAATTCATGTTTAGCAAAAAATGAGAGGAAATTCGTCTTCACTGTTTGTTAAAGGAACGAAGACGTAGGGGAAAAAAGTTGGGAAACACTTGGCAGGAGGAAATTAACATTAAATTATAGGAAATACTAGGTAACACTGCACCTACAAAATCTCTAATATTTTTTTCATATTTAAAACATAAGTACTGATCAAAAATACTTGGTCAAGCCTCACCATGTGTACATTTTTAATGTTTGGTAAACATCTAGGAAATATGTTTTTTGACGTCACGGATGAGGCTTCATATGATGAGGCTTTAATGAAACTTCAACCTTCTCCAGAACTTCATTATAACCTCTCGTAACTTCGACAAAATCTCGTGTGATATCTTAAATTCTAAACCCAAACAACCTTCTGTGTTTATATATGCACTAAGAGTTTACTTTAATCCCTATTTTAAGAATCAAAGCATTATTGATGTTATTTATTTTCAGGTCATTTGCAGCTTTAATCATCCATATGCAGTTAATATGCTAAAAATCTAAGATATTAACTTACAAGTCCTAGTGAGGTTTGACACTCTTAATGAAGCTTGACACTACAGTAGGCTTGAGACCACTGTTTGCTTGTGAGCCTCCATATCTTTATGATGTTTGAGGTCTAGTTTAGTGAATCAGACACCCAGAGGGTAAGCCTGAGGGCGAGGCAAGAAGGGAAAAAGGTTTATTTACCTGGTCGTGGTCATACACTTCTGGGATGGCGTCGCCGATAAGGTTGACAGGACTGTTAAACTGGGAGCCCTCAGCGATCTCTGCAACGTAATGCGACGCTTTGAAGGTTGGAGTCTCGTCGTTCACATCCTCCAGCAACACTGTCACCTCCGTGGTCATCGTGGGGGGAGGGTCCACCACACCGCTCTCCTCCTGGGCCTGTCCAAGTGTAACGAAAAAAAGTTCGCAAATTGTTTTTATCTCCAATCGTGCAACAGGAATGATAGTCATTAATCTAAAAAAAAAATTGTAGATTGAAACTGAACAACGTTTCGGCTCGTCCTAGTTCATTATCAAGTTGCAAGTGGACAATGTTGATACATCATATAAATTAAATTAAAAATACTTATTTTATGACTAAAAATTATATAATGTAATTGAAGCATGTACTGTGTGTCTGCCCCATTAAGATGTTAAACTGGTGATGACCTGCCTGCCTGCTTGTAAACATTAGCTCACCTGAATTTTGATAATGAAGGCTCCGTTGTTTGAGAGAGGACTCTCACGGTCCAGCGGTTTCTTGACGTAGAGGACGCCAGAGTTGTGGTCCAGTTGGAAGAGACCTTTGTCTCCCTCTAAGATGGAGTAAGTAATGTGGTTGTTAACGCCACGGTCTCCATCCACAGCCTTCACTGTAAGGTACACAAGGAACAGCACGTGGTCACTAAGATGACACATAAGCAAGACAATAATAGTTCAAAAATACCGTTCAGCAAAATCATTCACCATAACGTCAATACAGCCACAAATTATACTTTTTTCAAACTGTATATTAAATACCGTAGAGAGGACACCATGAGCACAACTGTGCTCCTGTAGCTACAGAGAGACATATATGAAAGAGGTCGCCAAGTTTACTGGAAATATATTTAAGATGGAGCAGATAATTTTTAATACCCAGTTATCTTAACTTAGTGGAAGCATTTAATTATCCGAGCTTAATGATAAGAGAAACACTCAATTCTCTTGACTTTGTGGCGAATGAAAATACTCAGTTACGTGAACTTCGTGGCTAAGACAAACACTCAGTTATCTAAACTATTTATTTATGAAAACTATGTTTCTGATGCATGAAGACATTTGTCTCCTTGTTGTAAGTCACTTGCATTTCGTAACAAAACTGGGTACATCACAAGTGAGTTGCCACCTTAATCCGTACAACAGTCACAATAGGGAAACAAAAGCCAGCTAATCTTGCAGGTGTACGACACAAGAACAGAGGAAACAAGTAAAGGAAACTGTAAAAGAGGAAACAAACAGCGTAAAAACGAGAACAGAAGAAACTAAAAGGCGTAGGAAACGATAATAAAAGAAACTAAAAGGTGTAGGAAACGATAACAGAGGAAACAACAGCCGTAGGAAACTTTAAGACGAAACAATAGCTGCAGGAAACGATAACAGAGGAAACAACAGCTGTAGGAAACATCAAGAGGAAATAACAGCTGCAGGAAACGATAACAGAAGAAACAATAGCTGTAGGAAACGATAACAGAAGAAACAATACCTGTAGGAAACGATAACAGAAGAAACAACAGCTGCAGGAAACGATAACAGAAGAAACAACAGCTGCAGGAAACGATAACAGAAGAAACAACAGCTGCAGGAAACGATAACAGAAGAAACAACAGCTGTGGGAAATGATAACAGAAGAAACAAGAGCTGCAGGAAACGATAACAGAGAAAACAACATAATAAAGCTCCAGACCCGGATACAACAAAACTGAAGACGAGGAGGAGGAGGCAAGAACCGACCTTCAAGTACGCCGGAGTTGACGGGGATGTCCTCGGGAATGCGGGTGACTGGCGGTGCCTGCGTGAACTGAGGCGGCTGGTCCTCCACATCGTTGACCCGTACCACCAGCGCTGCCGTCCCAGTGTTAACCCGCCCGCTGATGGCTCGGTCCATCGCCAGCACCTGAGTTCGTATACATTTTATTTCATTACATTAATTATATACAACAGCGACAAGCTGATAATAAGACACAAGACTGATTGAGGCTAAGGGACGGATACCGTCTTTAAAGACTACTTGGGGATAATTACATATTCCACGGTCTCCAGTCTCTGTAATGAATTGATAAAGACCTTGAATGGAGAAACGTCTTCACAATAAAGATACCCAGGTGCTGCACATGTGTCTTATTCATCATGTTTTTTTCATTATGATCTAAATAAATCTGGATACATCAACCATGAGCTGCTATCCTATATGAGAGTTACACAGTTGCAACGAAAGCCAGATATGTTTCCTTGTCATATTCCATCACGCAGGATGACTTTCTTACGTCAAGTGACTGAAATCTATCAGCTTGGTCTGGGAGACCAGTAAGACAGAAAAGAACATGCAAGTGGTAGCACAAGGAGGAAACACTCATTAAGATCACAGCTATGCTAAAGTGTCTTAGAGAAAAAGAGATTATATGACTGAGCTGCTTCAGGGAACAGATCACACGGCAGGCTGTCTCATCTTAACGGTGAAGAACAAAGAAGAGGGTCGAGTCTTTCAAAGGAGGAGAAAGGAACACGGAGACTTTCTCCGCATTATTCTCTAGTACTAGTCGCCGTTAATGTCCGTACAGATTTTAACGCTTCACATAAAATAAATCTGGATTATTAACCCTAAAGGGTTGTTAACCTAGGATAACCCATGAATGTCATGGATGCTAACTTCAACAGCCTACTAACATCCAATGGAAAAATAGACACAAAGGTGGTATAATGCGATCCTTTACTGACTACGCTTCCCCCACACAGTGGGCTTTACAAAGTCACAAACAGATCTGTCTGTGTCTTTATAAAGCCCACTGTGTGGGCGAAACATGGTTAATAAAGGATCACATTTGCGATCGTGTCGGTGTTTTATACTATTTATCTCCATCGTGTCACATACCGACTAACATCCAAATACCTATTTACTCCTAGGTGGACAGAAGCAGCAGACTGAAGAAGACTTACCCATTAATTTCCACTCTCCTGAGACTGGACCCTGGTATAAACCTTGGCAACACATACCTACAAATTGGTTTAGGAAAAACAAATAAGTAAACACTGGGACATATTTATTAGAAAACATTTCGGCCTGGGACTTTGATCACTTCTAACATACAGAGGTTATGTTAGAAGTGATCAAAGTCTCAGGACCGAAACGTTTTCTAATATTAGAAAACGTTTCTATCGAAACCGCCGACAGTGTTTCCACTGACCTACTATTCACTCAACTATTTTTTTTTTTACATTATGTTATTCAATTTTCTGATTCAATACCATTAAATTCAGGGGTGAGCATTACACTCCTCAGTATCATACAGTGTCTGGTGTTATTTTTCATACATTCTGAACCAAGAATGAACCTTAATAGTAACTGAAGGCAGGAGCGGATCTACTTATTAAACTAATGAAGCTTAAGCTTCAGGGCCCCTAATCTCGGAAGGGCCCCAGAAGACACTTTAATCAACAGTGCTTAATTTTTGGGGGGTCTACTGCATGAGAAGGGGTTGCGAAGGGGCCCCCAAAACAGTTCAAACTTCTGGGCCCCAAAAAATGTAGGTCCGCCACTGATTAAAGGTCATGGAAAGATCGTGAAGAAAAAACGTCGCTGAACAAGCTTTCGTTGCACCAACGTTTCGCTCCGTTTAGAGCTACAGCAAGTCTGATAAAGCTTTATAGAAAGCGAACCGTAGAAGCTTGTCCAGAAACGTGTATCTTCACTGTCGTGGGCAGTATGACATTTAGCTCCAGGATCAGGTTAAGTCAGGAGAAAAGTGCAAGAAGCTAAGTCATCCTGGGGGTAAATCAAGTCATGAAGGAAAGGCCTGGTCACTGGGAAAGGTGGTAAGTCAGTGAGGTAAACTAGATTACGAAAGACTACAGAAAGAGGGTTGTAACATCTGAGGTAAACTACGTAAATAGGGATGAGTGTAACATCTGAGGTAAACTACATAAAAAGGGATTACTGTAACATGACACTAAGGTAAACTACGCAAAGAGGGATGACTGTAACAAATCAAAACGGTAAACCAACCCATGAAACAAGGAGAGGGTCAGCAGGGACCATGGTAACTGGTAAACTAGAGCATAAAGATCAAAGAGGGACGAGAGTAAAAGGTCACTTAAGGTGAACCAGGTCTTGAAGAGGAGCAGGTCCTGGCCTGTGTAAAGTCCCCAGTCAACTGGCACACATTCTTTGACCTTTGATAACTTGCTCTATCAGTGCCTAATACCAACTAGGGGGGGGGGTGATATCAGCCCCTTCCATCTGACATTCCAGAGATAAAATTAATTCTTACCTTACCGAAGTGTACTTTAATGTTTCGCGTAAATACAACAGAGGCGAAGAATACGACAAGATGTGACAGAGAAAGTGAAATTAAATGCTTAAGTAACACTCAATTATTACTTTCACTGGAAAGCGTCAAGCCTAAAGGGTCACACAGTGCCTGGGAAATGAAAGGAAAATCAGGTTTAATCCAAGGAAAGAGTAGTTCACATTCTTTGAATTAAGAGACTTTTTCCAGCATCCAAGTAACACCCCCCCCCCCCCGAAGACGTAGTGTTTTGGTGGTCAGTCCCTGAGGACTGACTACCACAACACTACGTCTTCCAGGATGATGGACTGATTACATCATCTTCACATCTCTATTGTTTCTGTTGCCTCTGTATTCGACTGAAGAAGCCTACTGTGTAGGCGAAACACTTCGGAATAAAGACACCTAACTCCTGTCAATGTGTCTTACTTATCAACTTGTCGATATATTATACCATGATATCCACATTTTGTGAAGCATTAAACCCTTGAGGGTCATATACGACAACGAGTGGTGGAGGCTCGATTCTCCGTTCTAAATATAGAGACAGGCTACCACTGAACAAAGAGGGAGGTGGTGCAGCTAGTTACCCTGAGTTGGTATAGGGACTTTCTCTCGTAGTCTAGGTCTCCCACCAGCCTCAACACAGCCTTCCCGTCCAGGGTATTCACTGTAAACTTCTCCGCGTCGCTTTCTGAGTCAGCGTCCAGTCTGTAGATTACCTGTGGTAACAACATACAAATAAAATTTTTAAATGAAAACAATGCAATTAAACTCTTAATATCTAATACAAGAGAATCGTACAACTGAAGATATTACATATTTCCCCAGCAGCGTTACAAAAACTTGCAAATACAGTAGTATAATTAACACTGGCCAATGGTATAAATGAACTTAAGACCAGTGTCAGGAAACACTTGCCCTGTTTCCTGATAATCATTACCAACCAAGCATAAATGAACCCACATGATGGTAATAAAACGATGGATATGCATATATTTCGACCTATACTAGGTCCGCCAAAGAGGGCCTTTGCCTGCTGAAGAAGGTCTCAGTGTGAGACCAAAATATATAGTGTAATATATATATATATATATATATATATATATATATATATATATATATATATATATATATATATATACTCATTTCCATTGGTATTTTATGCTTTTTAAGCAAGAATGTTTTAAGTCGTTTTACCTGTCCGAATGGGCCTTCGTCTTGGTCAGTAGCAAGGAGCGTGGCCAGCACCTGAGGCGGAGCGTTCTCATCCACGGCCACCGAGGACTCGTAGGGACGGAAGATGGGTTCGTTATCGTTGATATCTTCCACCAGCAGCAGCATGGACTGCGTGATGAACTGTCCTTCACCCAGCTTGTTGTCAGTCAGCGTCAACACTACCGTGTACTCGTCTTTCATCTGGGGAAACAACTAGTTATCCTCACACCCACCAGATATACATACTACATGGTTGTTCACAACATCTGCCTCACTCCAGTGTTATTACACACACACACACACACACTAGAGAAAGTGCAAAGGTTTGCAACAAGACTAGTCCCAGAGCTAAGAGGTATGTCCTACGAGGAGAGGTTAAGGGAAATCAACCTGACGACACCGGAGGACAGGAGAGATAGGGGGGACATGATAACGACATACAAAATACTGAGAGGAATTGACAAGGTGGACAAAGACAGGATGTTCCAGAGATTGGACACAGTAACAAGGGGACACAGTTGGAAGTTGAAGACACAGATGAATCACAGGGATGTTAGGAAGTATTTCTTCAGCCACAGAGTAGTCAGTAAGTGGAATAGTTTGGGAAGCGATGTAGTGGAGGCAGGATCCATACATAGCTTTAAGCAGAGGTATGATAAAGCTCACGGTTCAGGGAGAGTGACCTAGTAGCGATCAGTGAAGAGGCGGGGCCAGGAGCTCGGACTCGACCCCCGCAACCTCAACTAGGTGAGTACAACTAAGTGAGTACACACACATTTACCAGAGCTAAAGACCCTACAGCAATATGCTTGAGACTGCTTCCTCAAGGGAAGTAATATTCAAAATGCACACAATATTAAAACCATTTTATGTTATTTACTTTTTCTTACCATGAGGTCTGCAGTATAAATGTGTTACAAAAGAAAATTCCATTCACTGATATGCCATCCAGTGGGACCTCCCGTCCTACTCTCCTGTCCTATCTCATGACAACATCAAATGCACCTCCCCATCAATGTTACCCTTATTTGTTAGCATCCCAGACATCTACTGGTACTCAATCACTATTACCCATCACTAGCACTAATATCGGCACCCCACCATGCAGAGAGTACATTCAGAGTTGTGTTCAAGAGAGACTGGACAACATGCACTTCAAACATTCACACAAATGACTGGCATCCAGTCACTTGCGACATGGGTTACCTCTCTGTCCAAGGCCTTCTTCAGGTACACATTGGCTTCTGTAGCGCCGTTCTGCTCTATCCTCAGTAAGTCGCGGCCCTCCGCCCCTCTCACGCCGAAGGTCAACGCGTCGCCGTCAGGGTCAGAGCCGCGCAAGGTGGTAATTTTGGAGCCTGGGGAGGTACGAAGGAGATACTGACGTAAACATGCTCTCTTAACACACTTCACACAACGTATGTGCGGTAATATGTGGGTTACAGAGTTACTAAGTACTGCAGCTTAGACCAGGCTTCCTACGTACACTGGCCTTACCTTCAGAACATGATAAAATAAAACCCTCGTTAACATTACAGAAAACACATGTACTCATATATCGCAAGGCAAACTCACATAAAGTATAAAATAATCCAGTTTTCCTACAATATAATCATCAAATTATGCTCCAGGAAAAAATGCATTGAGCTATTAACTTATCAACAGAGAACCGAACTACAGGAGAAAATACTAATCATAACTAATCTAGCTTGGGATCTAAAGAGACGGGCGGCCATTAAAACTTTTTAAAACAGACGCCGTGGAAACAGCTGATGTGTCGTAACACAGTAATAGCTCCAAATAACAGGCGTCCCAGAGTTCTTATGAAACCACCTTCACTTTATCATTTAATCTCACATGATGAGGAGCGGCAAGCAATCTGTGAGCAGCAGCCATCATTGATGCACCAGCGGCAGGCCAGCCCTTCATCAATACTGGGGTTTCCAACCTTTTCACCATCATGGACCCCTTTATTTAAATTAATTTTCCCAGGGACCCCAGGTTTTTGATAGGTCTGTCTACTCAACAAACCAGTTTTATTTACTGACAAAAAACTCATTTTCCCAGTTTCATCTCTCAGCTGAAAAACATACGTAACTGAGCATGTCGTTAAATTTTGAAAGTTAATCTTTATCAGCCTCACCGTGAGTAATTAAGCATTTTACACTGTAGCCTCTTGAAATTTTTAACTTAGCTCACGGACCCCCAGTACTACCATTGCGGACCCCCAGTACTACCTTTGTGGACCCTCAGTACTACCTTTGTGGACCCCCAGTACAACCTTTGCGAACCTCCAGTACTACCTTTATGAACCCCCAGTACTGCCTTTGGGGATGGGTTTGTGGTACAACTTGTCAGACACCGCAACATCATGGAATCTTGTTTCAGAAGGACATCTACATAACCTTCTTCGTGACTACTACTACTACCACTACCACTAACCCATCTCTTGGGTATGACCTACTTCCACTGGGAAATCCCGCCTACTAGTGACTATGCCCTCGTCTAATACCTGTCTCTTTCCACCTGACGCCAGTATATAAGCGCCAGCCTTCTTGCCTGTGCTCCAGAATCTTCACGACTACGGTGTTCTTCACACCAACTCCAATGAGAAAATGGTATGGTGATACCGACAAGATGTGGAAAAAGGCACTTATGTACAGTTCAGGACATTTATTAAAGGAAACGCTTCGCCACTCGTGGCGAAACGTTCTTTTTCCATACCAACACCAATGCTGAGGGACTGATTACCTCATCTTCTGTATACAGTTGTTCTGTCTTCCAGTCATGTCCTTGAATCTGTATTGATAAAGCCACTGGATGGCGAAACGTCTACAATAAAGATACCCAGACGTTGCACATGTGTCTAAATTTTCGTAATCTATTACACGAAATTGAAGCGATAGATATGTTTTCAAACATTAAAACTCATTTAACCATAACAGTTTAGACTGTTAGGTTACAACCTTATCTACTGCATTAAACCTGCAAATTCACTAGAACACTAACATTCTAGAATGCCTTAATACCTAATTAAGGGATTAATAATCTCTCTTGTACTGTATATACACATAGATAAGTATCTCGCGGTCTATATACAGTGTTCCCAGGTGAGAACAACTATCATGGAGTCTTGGAAGGAATATACAAGGAGCAGGCATCACAGAGCCTTGGAATGATTACAGCAGGTAAGAACGGGAATAAGGAAGCTCAGTAATGTCTACACCATGTGGGAAGAAGCATCGTGGAATGTAAAATAGCAGGAGAGAGAGAGAGAGAGAGAGAGAGAGAGAGAGAGAGAGAGAGAGAGAGAGAGAGAGAGAGAGAGAGAGAGAGAGAGAGAGAGAGAGTTAAGAGGTAACTCAGCAACTATTATATGAGTACGTTTCACAAGTACATAACCTCTCACTTCCAATCCATGTTTCACACGTACATAACCTCTCATCCCCAACCAATGTAACCCCATTTAAAAACGTGACCATAGGTACCATTTGACCCTGGGTAATAATATGGCCCTGGGAGGGGGGAAGAAATCCGTGAGGAGACAACGCCCACCTGTAATTAATATGTCCTTTACGCAAGCCCGCCTGTCACTGTCTGCGTAAACAGTGGTAGAAATCTGGCGATGTTATTAAATATATACAGTGGTAGATGCTTGGTATTGTTACTGTATTCATACGGGAAAAATTCCCCTAACATAGGCCTTTTGTTATGTGATGACCTGTTGAGTGGTGTGGCTGGTGGTGCTGCGGGGGGCCGCAGTGAGCAGCAGCCACTGATGTCTTCCCAACAATCACATCTAACAGAGATGTGAATGTTGGGAAGAGCAACGTTATCTCTGGTGGGCAACAGCAACAGCGACCGCTGTCCTATAGATCAGACTCAGTGGTCTGAGAGGGAAAAGGCACAAATAAAAATAGAGAAGAAATAATATTGTTCAAAGCCATTTAACATATTGCAAATTTATGCGATACATTTATCATTAAAAATGGAGTACTACCCGCACATAGGAGAGAGACGCTTGTGACGACGTCTGGGTCCGACTTGGACCATGTATAAGTCACACTGACATATAAGAGTGAGGGAGCCAGTATATATCCTGGAGTCTACCTGGAGGGTATTCCGGGGATCAACGCCCCCGCGGCCCGGTCCACGACCAGGCCTCCCGGTGGATCAGGACCTGATCAACCAGGCTGTTACTGCTAGCCGCACGTAGTGCAACGTACGAACCACAGCCCGGCTGATCCGGCACCGACTTTAGGTATCTGTCCAGCTCCCTCTTGAAGGCAGCCAGGGGCCTATTGGTAATTCCCCTTATGCTTGGTGGGAGGCTGTTGAACAGTCTTGGGCCCCGGACACTTATGGTGTTTTCTCTTAGTGTACCAATGGCGCCCCTACTTTTAATTGGGGGTATTTTGCATCGCCTGCCCAGTCTTTTA